GGTATGTTATTCATTTCACAGGCAAAGCTGGGGCCTGGAGAGGTCATGTGACTGGCCCAGGGACCTTCACCTAGTCAGTGATGGAGCTGGGATTTGACCCCCAGACTCAAGAGCCCCTGTTCTTCCCCTGGCCCAGGACATTGGCCTGGGTGTGATACAGGGCAAATGCAAATAGGGAGTTCCATGCGGGGACAGGTGCCTGTCCAGGCTCTGCCCCAGACCCCCTCTGCCTGATCCTACTGGACACCCATCTGGGATTCTCCCAGTCCCGGGGAGGGGCCTGGGATGTTGTGCATGAAGAAGACAGAGCACTGAACCAGGAGTCAGGAGTCCTGGCTTTGCCTTGGATTCACTGGGTGACCAAAAAGGATTTCTCAACTTCTTGATTACAAAGTGCCTTTATCTAAAAGGGGAGGAGAGTATAGCCTGCCCTAACCGGTTTGCTGAGGTTTTGTGAGATCTGAGAGGATAAGGGGTGTGAAAGAGCTTTGAAAACTTTAAAGGGTCTTGTGGGAAAAATTGTGATTATCCTACCATTGGTGTGAGGGAGCACAGGTATGTGAGGGCACGCGTGTGCCAGGACATGTGTTTAAAGAGGCTGTGTATGTGTAAGTGGGGCAGTGTCAGAGTATACACATGGGGGTGACCAGGAGACTCCAAGGAGCTGTGGCATGGGGATGGCACACAAGAGTCACCCCTGAGCTCATCTACCTGTGCTGGGTTGTACTGATGTGAGTGTGCACAAAAACTGTGGCCCCATCTCGCCCATGGGTCACACGCCTGACTGGCAGCTTCTACGGGGACAGGCAGGCCAGACAAGCCTGACGATCTGGGGGCTGGCCAAAGGCAACCTGAATGTTCCCCACCTCCCATCCAGTGAGGGGCCAGTCCCCTCAAAGTGGCTATATTTCTTCTTTGAACTGACCCCATGGTCTGCTGGAAGCAGGGCAGTGTTGGGCAGCCCAGGGTTCTGTGGGGATTGTCTTCAGCTCCCTCTGCTTCTGTCTTCCCCCTGCCTGGCCCCCAGGTCCCCTCCTGTCACTGGCTATGGGTATAGCAAGACAGCCCTTGTGAGCAGAGCTGACATTTCAATCTGTCTCTCAGGCTCTTCAGATGCCTACAAATTGCATCAAGACTTCATCACCCCCCTTGTCCAACACCCAGCCCTGTCTGGCCCCTGTCAGCCTGGCCCTCAAACAAGTGACAAATTACATTCCAGCCACTGCAGCAGGCCTGCAAGTGGGTGCTTGAAACCCAGGGGACTAGAGCTTCACAGACAGCCTCTGGCTGAGAACAGGGAGCCTTCTGCGTAGAAGCCACTCCACGCTCTCACCCGACCATCACAGCCAAGCTGGGCTGGGAACCAGGCCAGGTTGAAGGGGCCCTGCCTCTCCCACACCAGAGGGGCCAGAGGTCACAGCTCCCAGTTTTCCCAGCTTTACAGAGCGCTTAGGGGGAAGGATGGCTGGTGGGAACTCGAATCCCAACATCTTCAAAAAGCCAGGCCAAGCCAAGATCCACCTCCCTGCTAAACGTGGGGGGCCTGGAGCCTGGAAATAAAAGGTGTGTAGAAGTCTGTTTCTTCAAAGTGATATCCCCATGAATCTGGGGGGCAGGGAGTTGCCTTTGCCTACAGCAAGACAAGACTCTGCTGAACAACTGTGTGACCTTTTGCAAGTTCCTTAGCATCTCTGAGCCTCTGTTTACTTATGGGGATTTTAGCACCTACCATACAGAATGGTGGCGAGGATGAAATAAGACATGGAAAGCACCCAGTACAAGCCTTGACACAGGGTAGATGCTCTATGAATAGCAATTGTTATTGCAGCTCTGTTGTACTGCTGCTGCCACACTCTGATCCCAGCAAAGCAGCAAGATCAGGAGCAGGAAGCTAGAGGTATATGGGGAACTGGAAGAAAATACTAAATTAATTCCCACTTCTCTGCCTTTGCTTTCATAATAATTTTCCTGCAGTGAGCATCCTCCCTTCCTCCTCCTCCTCCTCCTAGCACTCCCCTCTTCAAGGCACTCTGAGACCCACCTGCTCCACGCACTTTCCCTGAGCCCTCCTCTGTCCCCTGGAGGATTCCTGCTGCATGCATTCAGTGCCACTTAAAGCAGAATTATATGCTGCCTGGCATCTCTCGATAATTACAGATTCCACGTGTGTGAGTCTTGTTTTCCCAACTCTAGAATCACAGAATCTCCAAGTTTGAAGGGACCTCATCCAGCCTCCGCCTGCTGCAGGAATTCCCTGAGGAATGTCCCCAGCAGATGGTCAGGCAGCCTCCACCCAAATGTGCCTGGGTGGGGAGCTCCTCGCAGAGGGAGGCGCCTCTGCCCCCCCCCACCCTGCCTTGAGCTTTTGCTTCAGCCCAGAGAACTACCAGATCTTTCCTCTTGAGCAGGGGTAGGGACCCCTCCCTGCCCAGCTGCCCCTCAAGAGCCCCCGGGGCACATCTATTCCCAACACCCACAGGCTGAGGGGCCAGAGCCTGGCAGCAACTAGCTCCTTGGACCTGGCTGGGCTCGGCATCCTCTGTGTTCCTCAGGTCACAGGAATCTAGTGAGCCATGTGCCTCCGGCAGCCCTCACATTTATTCTCTCCACACATCTTTGTTGAGACTGGCCAGTGAAGAGGGCATCATGACCCAAAATGCCAACCTGGGCTTTTGTGGCAAAATGGGCAGAGGCCCAGTGGGGACCCAGTGGGGAGCGTCTGAAGCAGAGGGACTGAATGCCCTGGCTGGGGAGGCCAGTCAGTCCCTGAGGATGTAGCCTTGAGATCTAAAATGATGCTCAGTGTCACCAGGAGAGGCATAAGGAAGTCTCTCCCTGTGCAGAGTCCCATATGCAAATGTCCAGAAGAGCGGAAGTGAGGGGTGGCCTGTGAATACAGGGCAGGTAGAATGAGGCTAACAAAGCCAGTGGAACCAACCGTGAGCTGGCAAGTTTGGACTTTGTTGTCTGGGCAAGCTGATGTCCCCAGCAGCATTTGGGGAGGAGAGAGACAGGACCCAGAGGATGAGTTTGGGATGGAAGGGGTGAGACAGGTGGTTAGAAGTCCATTCTCAGGTGAGAAACAATGGGCAGGAGGTAATCAGGGCCAGTGACAAAAGGATAGAGAGGAGGAACCAATTGGAATATTTGGGAAATAAGATTGGGAAGAATTTGGTGACTCACTGGATGCCATTTAACCAGCCAGGTAGTTGGCCCTTGAAGGCCTGCCTCAGAGCAACAAGGTAGGGGCCTTGGAGGCCATGTAGATAGGTGCTTTTGCATTGCGCAGGGATCTTGTTACAATGGAGAGTATGGTTTAATAGATTTGATGTGGGGTCTGAAGGGTCTGCATTTCTTACAAGTTCCCAGGTGATGCCAAAGCTGCTGGTCTAGGGACCATATTTTGAGTCCCAAAGATCTACATGAGGCCGTTTTATAAAACGAGGAAACGGAAGCTGAGATAGTGTATTTGTCCAAGATCACATGGTTAGGATAAGGTCCCAGATCTCTGGGCTCCCAAGCCACACCACCACTTCCCCTCTGGGCAGAGTCTGTCCTTGTCTAAGCCTTGTTTGACGGAATGGAGGCATGGAGCCCAGAAGGATGCTCCAGGGATTGAGGGCTTGAAGATCAGGGTGGTGGCAGAGGGGCTGGAACAGCCAGAGGAAAGGATCAGAGAAGAGAGAGAGGGGAGAACCGTGGCTGACACGTGGAGGGGCACAGTGTAAGGCCGAGCTGACAGTCAGCAGGGGCTAAGTTGGGCAGGGTCTTGAGTGCTGAGCAAGGAGTCTAGACTAGATGCTGCAGGCTCCATGGGCTCAGTGGGAAGCCACTGGAGGACTGAAACAAGGAAGCAACAGGTCTGGGACTATTAACCAGCTGCAGCTCAGAAAATATTGATGGGTTAAGCCCTACAGGCAGGGAGGCCAGCCAGGAGGCTGCCGTGGTGATCTAGGTGAGCAATAACAGTGACAAGCCAGGGAGGTGGCAGTGTGGGTAAAGAACAGTGAACAGATTCGAGGTCCAATTGACAGGACTGAATGACTGACTGCATGTGGGGTATGAGGGAAGAGGCAAGACGCCAGTTTCTGACTTGGGCATCCAGGACAACAGCAAGATCATTCCCAGGGGCATAGCTGGGGAAGAGGGTAGCTCAGTATGAGTCAGGCTGGGAGTGAGGACGTCGGGGGAAGCTGGGCACAAGGGTCTGATGCCCAAGACCGCACATGGCTGGCCAGGCCCTCAGAAGCCATCTAGTTCAACACACTACCCCACCTCTACTTTGCAGGTGAGAAAACTGAGCCCAGGGAGGTGAAGGGACAGGAAACAGCTGGTGGACTTGAAAAGCTACAGAGACAGAAAGATGTACTTACAAATCCCAGTCCTGCTAATAATCTCTATGTGACCTTGGATAATCTCCTTACTATTTCTGAACTTCAGGTCCCATCTCACAGAGTTACTGTGTTACAGCAAGTGTTAACAGCGGGTGGTCCCGAGGACAAACCGAGTGGCACACAGAAAGTCCGAGAATCAAAGTTTTTTCCGCCAGCCAAGCAGGTTCAGAGGGACCTCACCACCAAATTCTGAGCACTGCCTACTTGATTTTTCCCAATTTTATTAAGTTGGGGTGGTCTGAGGGGTGGGGTTTCAGGCGTCGGTTAGTTGACGTGTCAGGTAATAGGTTAATATTATGTTGATGCACCAGGCAATAGATTTAGTGTTATGCTGATGCCAGGCAATAGACTAGTTGAGGGGCCCGGTAACAGGTTAGTATTATGCTAATATGGGTCTTCCCTGAGTGGTGGGGGTCTCCCTTATCAATTGAGCTGGTAAGATGAGCTCCTCTTGCACTGGAGTGCCTAGCTCAGGGCCTGGGGGCTCGGATGCCCAAGGGGGATTGAGTATTAGCCCAGCTGGGGCCTGCAGGAGCCTGAGGGCAGCAGGGCTCAGGCAGCAGGAAGAAATCTGACTGCTCTGCTTTGCTCTCTCCACATGGGCAGGTCCAGAACATCAGCCTCCGGGAAGGGGAGACGGTGACCGTGGAGGGTCTGGGGGGGCCTGACCCACTGCCCCTGGCCAACCAGTCTTTCCTGCTTCGGGGCCAAGTCATCCGCAGCCCCACCCACCAAGCGGCCCTGAGGTTCCAGAGTCTCCCACCACCTGCTGGGCCTGGCACCTTCCATTTCCACTACCAAGGTAAGGCCCAGGCAGCTGAGGGAGGAACCAGCCCAGACTGGCTGCCCTTGGGGGGGGGTTGTCGGGGGTCTTTGGTGCAGTTACAGCCTGTGGGGGAACAGGGAGGGGCTCTCTGCACCTCCCTACAGAGAGCTGGTCTTTCATCAGGATCAGACAGCTTCCAGGTGTGCCCACTGTCACTCACTCACTCATTCATTCATTCATTCATTCTGTAAACTCTCCCAAGGCACTTGCTCTTTATCTGGCTGGTGCTAGACACTGGTAATCTCAACTTGAACCAGCCAAGGTCCTGGCCCACAGGGAGTTCAGAATCTCAGGAGGTCGCAGACATTTAAACTGGCAATAACAATAGAAACCCTCTCCGAATGTAAGAAGGTCAAAGTCAAAGGGGCTTGACGATAACCATCTGGAGGTCTTTAGCTGCCAGCCTGGACTTCCTGAACTGCCTCACCCACCCTAGACCTAGTGCATGCCCCAGTCAGCTCAGAACACCTGTGGAAACAGGGGAGTGGCATGACGTAATGGGAAAATCACAGACTCAGGAGACCGGCAGATCTGTGTTCGAATCTCCTTCTCACTGGCTGTTGACCTCGGACAGGTCATTTGACCTCTCTGACACTCCATTTCCTCTCCTGTAATTTGAAACCAAAACACCTACCCTACAAAGTCATGGTTAGGATTAAACAAAATGGTGCATGTCAAGTGCTTAGCACATGTTCCATTAAGGAAACTAGTATTAAAGGGCTGGTAGGATAGCAGCGGCAGGAGGAGGGGCTTGGGACTCTGCTGCTCTTCCATCCACATCCCTCCTGCCCATCCCCCACCCTGGGCACAAAGTCAGCTTGATCCTTTGCAGCAGGTTAACCAGTTCAGACTGGGGAGAGCTAATAGGGAAGTAATTGGTGTGAACAATCACAGGATTGTCTTGCATTGTCATGGACCACTTCCGCAGCCCTGCAGGGGGCCGTGCCTGGCTGTAGGGCTGCCACTCTGGAGATGGGGATGCTTGGAACCCCACCTAAGGAGCATTCCACTCTATCCTGGCCTCCCCATCCAAACTGGGGGGAGCAGTGTGGCGAGGTAGCAGGGAGCCTGGCAGTGGGCAGGGGCTGTACAGGGGCTTGGCAGAGGCAAGGGGCCAGGCGAGGCAAGGGTGAACGGCCCAGCCAGCCTCCCTAATGGCTCATCAATCCTCCCTGGAAGTGGGCATAATTTCACGCATGGTAACCTTCTCTCTTGCTGCAAATTCCTTTGCACAAAACCCTGGACCTTTTCTCTGTGAAACCAGACAAAGGTGGCTGAATGGCAGTGAGTTGGAGCCTCGGCAAGGGGAACCAGACCCCAAGGAAGGGCTGGGAGAGCTGGCCCCATCCTGCTTCCTTCTTGGCTCCCAGAAGCCTTCCCTCTTCAGCCCAGTTTTTGTCAATGATCAGCTCTTTCCTTAATGAGTGTAATTCCCCTAATTATAGTCTGTAATTAGCCCTGATCCCAGAGATGGGAACAGGAGGAGCGTGTGCTCACACACGCGTTTCCGTGGGCTAGAGAAAGAGGGTGCCAGGAGAGGGGGTGAGGGACCTGATGCCCATACCTGTGCTGGAGCTGTCCAAGCTGATGTCAGAGGTCATAGGGACGGGCCCTCACAAGTGCCTCATTGCAGGACCCAAGTTCTAAGACCCCTCCCACTGGCTCAGGCAGGGTGGGGAGGCAGAGGGCCCTGACAGCCACCCCCCTCCTCCTTCCTGAGCATTCCTGGCACTGGTCTTGGCCCCATAAACAGACTCCAGTGAGAAAATAACTCGACAGATTGCAGTGGTGCGGGCTCCCTGGGAATGGTTGTCATGGCAACAGGAGGAAGCTCATTCTGGGAAGTGGCACTTTACCTACTATGGAGTCTGGGGGCTTGATTGTCTGCCTCCGGGCCTCCTGCCCTCACCTCAACCCTGCCCAGTTTCCTCATCTGTGAAATGAGGGCCCTCCCCTACAAGAGTCCTGCTAAGAACTCAAGGGCAAGCTATAAGAATAAGCACCAAGCCTTATATTTGTTTGGCTCATGGTCTAGACCTCTCTGGGTGTCAGCCCCTCAACTCCCTCCACGCTGGGTACAGTGCCCCACACCTTTCTCCCCATTCCATCCTGGCCTGGGATCTCTCCCCAAGTTATTGTGAGTGGCCGCCATGAACCACCACCCAGGGCAGTTTTGTCTGTTACTGTCAGGTATCTCTGACCCCGAACCCAGGTTTCTACTTCAGCTGGCACACAGGTAGGGGATGGGGGATGCAAAGCAAAGCAAGTGGCCTCTAGAGCCAGGAGTGGCAAGTCCTGCTCTACTGCTTACCTGCTGTGTGATGAGGGTATACAGTCTCTTTAAACCTCAGTATTTCTCATCTGAAAATGGGTTAATAACCCCTACCTTGCCTTCCTTCCTCCCAAGCATGCTATAGGCATCCAGTAAGAAGAGTGTGAAAGCCTGGGTATGGTGGCTCACGCCTGTAATCCTAGTACTTTGGGAGGCTGGGGTGGGAGGATCACTGGAGGTCAGGAGTTCAAAACCAGCCTGAACAAGAGTGAGACCACATCTCTACTAAAAATAGAAAGAAATTAATTGGCCAACTAAAAACACACAGAAAAAATTAGCCGGGCATGGTGGCGCATGCCTGTAGTCCCAGCTACTGGGGAGGCTGAGGCAGAAGGATCACTTGAGCCCAGGAGTTTGAGGTTGCTGTAGCTAGGCTGACGCCACCACACTCTAGCCCAGGCAACAGAGTGAGACTCTGTCTCAAAAAAAAAAAAAAAAAAAAAAAGAGTGTGAAGGCATTTTAGAAGCTGGTGAGGTGCCATTATTCATCAAGATTACAAACAGTAACAGCAGGCTGGGGTATTAGGTATGAGTTCTGTGCCAGGCACTTACATATGTCCTCTCACTTAACCTCTACAACATTGGATGCAATACTCAAAATGAATGGTAAACAAGGAAACTGAGCCCAGAGAATTTTAGTAACTTGCCCAAGGTGGCACAGCAAGTCGGGGAGCCTGTACTCAAACCCAGGCAGAGTGACCCCAGAGCCTGCCTCCTAAGCGCTGCTCTGTACTGCCTGCCAGTCACGATTAGCCACTCAAAGTATGGGTGTGTTCTCTCAAGAGCCCTGTGAAAGACACAAGAGTAGGAATCTTCCTCCCACTTTCACAGACATAGTACCTAAAGCCAGGACAGGTGAAAGTCACAAAAGTGAAAGTCACAAAATTCAAGTTTCAGGACCCTGGTCTGCTCAAAGGCAGCCGCTTTTTCTACTCACACAAAGCGCACAGAGGCTAGCAGAGCTTCTGCTCTGACCTCTCTTCCCATCTACCTGGCACCATCAGCGACCGTGGCCTCCCCACCCCAAGACCCAAGTTCTTCAGTCTAGACAGTCCCCATCCCTCCTACCACCCCAAAGATTGCTGGGCACTGTAGCCCAAGCCTCCTCCCAGCCTCTCTCCTCCACCCCTCCTGGCTTTCCCCCCACCTCTTAGATCCAAGCCTGGATCCCCATTTTTAGCTCCACGCAGCTTGGCCCCTGGGTTGGGATTTGCCAGATTGTTTTGTAGGATTTGCTGCCACCATTTGGTTGTACTTGGTATGACAATTCCAAAAGCTACCAGGTTTCCCGGGGCAACTTGTCCCTCTCCCAGCTTCCACAAAGGCTCGCATGCCTCCCCACCCTCACCCCCATCCTGTTTTTAAAGAAATCCACAGCTATTGCCGTCAAGTTTTTTAGCATATTTCAATGATTACTGGGAAAACTTTTACTGTCTGACTTCAATCTTTCCTGCTGCAATTCATATTTGTCCCCATAGGAAAAATAATATCAACACTTTACATCGGTACAGGCTTTTCACTATTTCAAGTGTTTTCACATTTGCAAGTCATTCAATAAACATTTCTTTCTTTTTTTCTTTTCTTTTTTTTTTTTTTTTAGACAGAGTCTCACTTTGTTGCCCAGGCTAGTGTGAGTGCTGTGGCGTCAGCCTAGCTCACAGCAACCTCAAACTCCTGGGCTCAAGCATTCCTGCTGCCTCAGCCTCCCGAGTAGCTGGGACTACAGGCATGCGCCACCATGCCTGGCTAATTTTTTCTATATATATATATATATTAGTTGGCCAATTAATTTCTTTTTATTTATAGTAGAGAAGGGATCTCTTGCTCAGGCTGGTTTCGAACTCCTGATCTTGAGCAATCCGCCCGCCTCGGCCTCCCAGAGTCAATAAACATTACTTGATGATATACATCAGCTAGGTACCAGGGATACCAAGCTGGATAAAATACTATCCCATTTATTTTCCCAATAACCCTGCAGGTGGGCTGGCATTTTGAACTTCATTTAACAAGTGAAGAAATAGACACAAAAAGATTAAGTAACCTGCCTAAAGTGTCACAAAGCTTGTACCAGAACCCAAGAACCAGCCCAGGCTGCTGGAAATATCATTGGCACCTTCTCGGGAGACATCGGAGTCTTTTTTGGAACTCTTAATGCTTCCTCTGACCCCAAATGACACCTCCGGGCAGGCTGGGGCAGGTGTCCCCTGACGCCAGTGGCTCAGCTTCCCACCACGCACGCACACACAATATCACCCATTCTCTCTTTGCAGCCTATCTCCTGAGCTGCCACTTTCCCCGACGTCCAGCTTATGGAGACGTGACTGTCACCAGCCTCCACCCAGGAGGCAGCGCCCGCTTCCACTGTGCCACTGGTTACCAGCTGAAGGGTGCCCGGCTCCTTACCTGTCTCAATGCCACCCAGCCCTTCTGGGATTCTCAGGAGCCTGTCTGCATCGGTGAGTGGCCCCAGAGAAAGGGGCCCAGTGCTGAGCAGAGTCAGGTGGGGGGGATCATCTCCACTATTGTTGTCTGGCACTTTCATTTGCTTTCCATAAGGAAGCCAGGAAATGGTCACATACCTCAGTGGCATTCATCCAACCTGCATTTATTGAGCATCTACTGTACAAAGGCACAACAGGTATATAGAGCTGAATTAAACAGGGACTCTGCCCTAGGGGGCCATAATTAAGGTACATATCCAAACAAGTAACTAGTTTTAGGAAAGTAGCATGAGGTATAGATAGCAGATGTATCCCAGCAGGTTGGAGCCCAGAGTAAGGGTTTTATTAAAGTCCAGCTTGGGGGGGGGTGTCAGGAGGAGTCAGCAGAGAGGGAAAGTGACAGATCAACCTACAGTCAGAGCATTGCATGTGAATAGTCCCACAGGTGTGAAAGGTTAGGAGGTAGGATTCTGCAGTTCAGACCACCTGGAGCTGCAGGGTCACAGAGCTAAATATTTACCTTTAGGACCATGATAGCAAAGACAGCAGGGAAGCACAGGCCCCTGCTGCCCCGTGCAGATGTACAAAGCTAGGATGGGGAGGAAGGCTTGTTAGGCTGCCCAGGTTCCAGTCAGGGGACCCAGCCTACCTCCTGTCCCTGTCTCCCAGCTGCCTGTGGGGGAGTGATCCGCAATGCTACCACTGGCCGCATTGTCTCTCCCGGCTTCCCGGGCAACTACAGCAACAACCTCACCTGCCACTGGCTGCTTGAGGCTCCTGAGGGCCAGCGGCTACACCTGCACTTTGAGAAGGTTTCCCTGGCAGAGGATGATGACAGGTGAGGGGCCGTTCTAGTGGGACGGGAGTGCCCGGCCTGGTAATACCCTGCTGGAGGAATGCTACCCAAGCCTGGGGCCACACCCCATCTGGGTGACCAGCCATGTAGCTGCCACTCTCCTGGCCCAGGCTCATCATTCGCAACGGGGACAACGTGGAGGCCCCGCCAGTGTACGATTCCTATGAGGTGGAATACCTGCCCATCGAGGGCCTGCTCAGCTCTGGCAGACACTTCTTTGTGGAGCTCAGTACTGACAGCAGCGGGGCAGCGGCAGGCATGGCCCTGCGCTATGAAGGTGAGCCTGCTGGGGCCTAACTGGGGCTGGGGGGCTGGGCTTGGGCTTGGGCTTGGGGTCTTTCTCACACACCCTCCCCCTCTCCACCTCCATCCCATCACTGCTTCCAAGTCTGCTCCTGCTCACCTGGCACTTGGGTCCCCTCTCCCTGCCCTATCTTTGCTGGAGACCCTTGCCTGGTCCAAGAAAATAAATTCTCCAGATTTTGAAAAGCATAAAAGGCTCTAACCCTTAGGGAAGGAGAATTGCTGTAAGAAACATTCTAGAACCATACCTGCATGCATACAAACATTAATTCATTTGAAAAAATGTTTATTGAGTATCTTCTGTGTACTAAGCACAAAACTAGGCACTGGGAATGCAATCCCAGGGGTCAAGACTGCCCCCTGAGCATAACAGGGATGAGTGTTCCAGGCTGTTCCTCCTGCACTGCCTGTGCACTCCAAGCCCAGGTCATACATTTGTCATCTGTACTAAGGAAGAGAAAGGCCCTGGGGGGGGAAGCAGGAGGATGCTTGCCCCGTGTTTATACCACTTGAGGCTGAGTTAGGCAGGGCCCTGTGGTTTACAGCCTTCCAGCAGGGCCATTGCTATGAGCCTTTTGTCAAATACGGCAACTTCAGCAGTAGCGCACCCTCCTACCCTGTGGGTACCACCGTGGAGTTCAGCTGTGACCCTGGCTACACCCTGGAGCAGGGTTCCATCATCATTGAATGTGTCGACCCCCACGATCCCCAGTGGAACGAGACAGAGCCAGCTTGCCGAGGTCAGTAGGCACCAGCGGATGGGCCTGCCCGGGGCAGAGAGCTGGGTGGGTACCAGGGAGCCAGCCTCAGAGCTTTGGGCCCTGTAATGCATATGATTCAGGCTTCCTCCTGAAGAGGAGGTGGAGGCTCCCAGCAATGGGTGGGCACTCTGGTGAGCATGCGATGATAGCTCTAGGACACAATGGCACTCGGGGGAACATGTAGGCAACACACCTCCTGGGCCTCCCCTGCCTTCTAGCTGTGTGCAGTGGGGAGATCACAGACTCAGCCGGCGTGGTGCTCTCCCCTAACTGGCCCGAGCCCTACGGCCGAGGGCAGGACTGCATCTGGGGCGTACACGTGGAAGAGGACAAGCGCATCATGCTGGATGTCCGAGTGTGAGTGCCTACTGGGTCAGGCCAAGCCAACTCCTGAGGTCTGGGGACACCTTTTATCCAGCCCATCCTGGGGCCCCCAGGCCTGCCCTGCCCTGACGGTCCTCCTCCACAGGCTGCGCATCGGCCCTGGTGATGTACTTACCTTCTACGATGGGGATGACCTCACAGCCCGGGTCCTGGGCCAGTACTCAGGGCCCCGTGGCCACTTCAAGCTCTTTACCTCCATGGCTGATGTTACCATCCAGTTCCAGTCGGACCCTGGGACCTCAGTGCTGGGCTACCAGCAGGGCTTCGTCATCCACTTCTTCGGTGAGCTAGTCCCTACCCTACCCCCCTCGGAGTGCAGACCTCGAGCCATGGCAAGTCATAGAGGCCAGGGCAACTAGGCGCCTGGGTGCTCTTTTGGACAAAAGAAGGCTGGCATCACCTGAAGGAAGCTAGTCCTGTTCTCCATCTTCCCTGAGAGCCCTCTAAGAGAAAAGGAGCCTTCTGTTGCAGCAAGAAGGATTTGGATAGGCAGCAGGAAGAACTTTCTAACAAAAATAGGAAACTGAGGAAAAGTGTTGGTTTTTACCTTTCTGACAATCTCAGTGGAAGTGACGATTTCCCTCACCCTACCAGGCCCCATCTCTCAGGCCTGAAGAACCTGTCAAGGTGCTTTTGGAAGTAAGGCCAAAACCCAGGTGATAATCCTGGAATCTAGGGGACAGAGCAATGTCAGGGACAGGCCAGGAGGGGCCCTTGAACAGGGGGAAATGAAGAGCCTTCCCAGGACAGTACAGGCCTAGGACAAACAGGCAGGAGCCAGCGTGTCCTCAAGGGGCAGGGGGCTAGCTAGCATGGCTGCTCTGGTGCTAGCTGAGGGCCTGCATCTTGCTGCCTCTGTGCCCCCAGAGGTACCCCGCAATGACACATGTCCGGAGCTACCTGAGATCCCCAATGGCTGGAAGAGCCCATCGCAGCCTGAGCTGGTGCATGGCACTGTGGTCACTTACCAGTGCTACCCTGGCTACCAGGTGGTGGGATCCAGTGTCCTCATGTGCCAGTGGGACCTAACCTGGAGTGAGGACCTGCCCTCATGCCAGAGGGGTAAGTGTACCTGTCCCCCATGCTCCTTTGCCCAGCACAACCTCCAAGCCTCTCTTCTGGATTCTGAACCAGACCCCAGCTGTTATTGGCTAGTATCCTTGAAGTTCCTTCACCTCTCATAGCCACAGTTTCTTCATCTATGAAATGGGGATAATATCTTTCCATAGGGTTCAGCCAAATACTCCAAGTATTTCATTCCTGGTAGATGGCCAATTAGTGTTTGTTGACTCTAATGGATGTGAAGGGGACAAATGAGGGGACACACCAGCAAAACGGTAGGGACATAAAAGGGGGTAGAACTGTATGACATGAAGACGTTAGCTGTCCTGGAAGGAAGCCAGGGTGGACTGGCTGTTGCTGAGTTCTTCTTGGGCCACTTTCCTCATTACTCACCACCCGTAGTGACTTCCTGCCATGACCCCGGAGACGTGGAGCACAGCCGACGCCTCGTATCCAGTCCCAAGTTTCCCGTGGGGGCCACCGTGCAGTACATCTGTGACCAGGGTTTTGTGCTGACGGGTAGCGCCATCCTCACCTGCCATGACCGCCAGGCCGGCAGCCCCAAGTGGAGTGACCGGGCCCCTAAATGTCTCCGTAAGTGGATAGGACGGGAAGCGCCTGGTAGGTGATAAAAGATGCTGCCTCTGGAGGCCAGGGGCCTGGCGCCCTCACTGGGCTCTGCCTGCTTTGCAGTGGAACAGCTCAAGCCATGCCATGGCCTTAGTGCCCCTGAGAATGGTGCCCGCAGTCCTGAGAAGCAGCTACACCCAGCAGGGGCCACTGTCCACTTCTCCTGTGCCCCTGGTTATGTGTTAAAGGGCCAGGCCAGCATCAAGTGTGTGCCTGGGCACCCCTCACATTGGAGTGACCCCCCACCTATCTGCAGAGCTGGTGAGTGCCCCGTCAGCCCCAAGAGCCCCTCCTGCCCCACAGGGCTGCTCTGGCAACGATGTCCAATGTTGAGAACCAGAACCCCCTGCCCATGCCACCTTCATGTTACCCTTGGTCTCCCCAGTCTCTGCCAGATCCTTCTGACCTGGCACCACTAAGACAAATCCTGGAGTAGGCGCTCCTTGGACAAATCTTTCCCATGACCAGCCCACCACCTCCGTTCCCTGTCTCAGTGGTTTGGCCCACTGGGCTCACCCACTGCCCTTGGCCCTCCCCTCTTGTTCCAGCCTCTCTGGATGGGTTCTATGGCAGCCGCAGCCTGGATGGTGAGTCTCCATCCTTGAGGGCCAGGGAAGTGGTCTCCTTGCCCCTGGTTCTCACAGCTCCCAGGTCCTGGGTTTGCCAAGGAGGGAGGGCAGAGAAAGAGAAGTTCGGACCTGGGAGGGCATAAAGCTCCATCCCTGCCTCCAGCCAACTAGAGGGAGCTGATAGCTGGATGCCTTTGGGCAAAGGGGAGGGGATGTGGGTTCCAGGTGACAAGGACCTCTGCTTTAATGCCACCCTCTGTGTTTTCAGTTGCCAAGGCACCTGATGCTTCCAGCACCCTGGATGCTGCCCACATTGCAGCTGCCATCTTCCTGCCACTGGTGGCAATGGTGTTGTTGGTGGGAGGTGTGTACCTTTACTTCTCCAGGTGGGTCTGGCTTCTCTTCCTGCTCTGCATACCTGCCTCCCTCCTGCCCGGTACTCCTGACTCGCAGGCTTCTCTGCCCACAGATTCCAGGGGAAAAGCTCCCTGCAGCTGCCCCGAACACGACCCCGCCCCTATAGCCGCATCACCGTAGAATCAGCATTTGACAATCCAACTTACGAGACTGGAGTAAGTAACCATGCCAACCTTGACACCCAAGCCAGGACCCAATTCTTTGCTCCCATGGGAAAGTACCCCTGAGGGTCCTACCAAGCCCTCTCAATTTTTCCCTTTTCCTTGGGAAGGTGAATTACGGCCTGGCAAATCTTATACAAGTTTCCAACTCCCAGCAGTCTCTTTCCTTTGCAGGAGATGAGAGAATATGAAGTCTCCATCTAGGTGGGGGCAGCCTAGGGAAGCCAACTTAGCCTTGCGTCACAGTCCAGCAGCAGGGCTCCCGGCTTCCTGCTGTCCCTCCACCTCCTGTACATACCACCTGGGAGGAGACACCACCAATCCCTCAAGAAGTTGTGCCCTTCCCCGCCTGCAATGCCCACCACGGCCTATTTTCTTGGTACCACTGCCCACTTAGGGCCCTTCCCTGGGCCCAAGTCAGTGGGCATCTGCCTATGGGCAGAACACAGCTGGAGCACATATATCAACAGCCAGCATTCTCCTGACCCTCCCCCATGCCCTGGACTTCCAGCCTGGAATTCACAGGCAGAGCAGAAGCACCTTTCTCCACAAGACCACCATCCAGACCTGGCACGTAGCACCCCACAGCAGGGTTAACTTGGTGGAAACTGCACCAGGGTGCTCCCCACAAGGGCCATCACTGCTCTCAATGGTGACCTCTGGGTAGTCCTGGCATGCCAACATCACCCCCTCGGGGAGGTCTCTAGTCCTCTAAAGCCCCCGGAATGGACAGTTCTGCCTCCTGCCTTGTTGCAGTGGAGGCAATAATTCTAAGGGATCCTATAGGGTTCAGGGACCCTACTCCAAGCTCAGGTTGGGCTTCCCTGGGCACTCATGCTCCACACCAAAGCAGGACACCCCCAGCAGCCCTACACCCTGAGGAAAGGGAGACCTTCCTCTGATGTTTATCTGGCTGTTACAAACATCCTCTTTCCCACTAGTCCCTCCTCTAATCGCAGCCATTTGCCAGGCTCCTCTTTCCTGGCCACTGTGTCATGAGATAAGGGGATGGACAGGCACATTCTGGAGAGGAGCAGAGGTCCAAGGACCCAGGAATTCGGCATGGAACAGACGGTCAGAGAGCCCCAGGCAGAGACCCAGGCGCTGGCTGAAGGCCACTTTTTACATGTAATGTATTATATGGGGTCGGGGCTCCAGCCAGAGAACAATCTTTTATTTCTGTTGTTTCCTTATTAAAATGGTGTTTTTGAAAAAACCAAGCAATGGCCAGGTGGATGGTGTTTTCCTGGAGGGGAGGTGGAAAATAAACGGGATATGGACTTCAAGACCAGAAGGCATGCTGGACACACCAAACAATCATCCCCAGATTTTATTTAAAAAGAAAAAAAAAGTTTTGGGTTTTTTTTCTCTTTTTATGCTCAAGAAACTGAAATCTAAAAAAAGTTATTTTAATACATGCAGTTGAACAGGGTCCACTGTCCCAAAGATGTCAGTGCAACAGATGGCAGGTGAAATGAGAGGCCCCAGTGGCTGGTGCTCAGGGATGTGGGAACCCGGGAACCGCATTGCACACCACCCCAATGCCTCATTTCCTCTTCTTTTCTGAGGCCAGAACCACAGGCTGGCACACTCCCAAACCCTCCTCAGTGCCACCAGATTGCTGACAAGGCCCATGAAGAGTGATACATTTCTCCTTCCCCTTACTTCCAAGCAAGCAAGGCCTAGGAAATTAGAATAGGAAACAGACTGAACCCCTGAATGTGAGGCCTTAGTCTGGTGTGACCTCAGATCATAGGCTGGTGTCAGGAGCACGGGTAATGCAGCTTGGGGGCTTGGCTACTAAGTTAAGCTAAGGCCCTAACCATGGGCTCTGGGAAAAGGTGACTGGGCAAGCTGCTTAAGTTTGTCCCTTCCCTATGGCCCCCAATGCCTCCTGAGATGAAAGTGTTTGCCCAGCATTGGCCCCCCAGCATGCACAGTCCATGCTTAGAGGCGTGCCCTGCAGGGCTCCTCTCCAGAGTAGGAGCAAGAGGTAGGCAACAGGGAGTTATAGTAACTAAGAAACCAGAAGACAAAACTCCCTCAAAGAAATAATAGCAAATAGCACCTTCTGCTTCTACAGCCTTCCAACAGGGAGGTCTTGACCACTCATGCTGTCCACCCCTGGCTCTAGCACAAGCCACCTAGAGGAATGTAGAAGCTCCAATCCACTCAGAGTGCAGTGCCTAGATTAGCCACAAGAGGTAAATTCCAAAGGCAACTATATACTACCTGCTCTCTCTCCTCAAGTCCCCTTGAACTTCCTGGGCTGAAGCTCTCCAAGGTGGCACCACTCCTGGCCCCACTGGGCTGACCTCATTCTCCAAGTTCCAAGAGGAAGGTGTGTGAAGTTCCCCTGGCACTTGTCAACAAAGCCAAGTCTTATTTTGCTCATTAGCCCACCGCCTGTTCCTGTTCTCAGCTGCAACCGATGGTGTTGATCAGAGCAAAGCCTTGCTCACTGGACATGTGCCAGTGGCTTACTTATCTGCCCCATAATGCCTTCAGACTGATAAAGCAGCACAGCTGGGCCCTGAGCAGCAGGAAGGAAACCAATGAGAGAGGGCACATGAGGCTCTAACCTCAGAGGGCCTGTGGCATGAAGTACAGGCCCTAGGAGAGAGAAGATCTGGCCACTTCCATACAAGCAATCTAGCTCAGCCCTCCCCTCTCTGAGGGCCACATCTCTGGTCCATAGTCACTTCTGTTGGCTGAGCCTGACAGAACGCAGAGAGCAGCCAATTTACATGACATTTCCCACCCCCAGCCCCCATGACTTTATAGTTCTTTCCAGACACCTAAAGGGTCATCAAAAAGTGAAAAGGCAAGAAAAAAAGAAACCTAAGACTCTACATACTGGTATCCCAACTCCATCTAACTCATCTTCCTTACTGTCCCAAAAGAGGGAGCAGCAACAATTCTGCAGAGGCAGTTAACATGGTGTAATGGCCAGTGTCTGGCCTGGAAATCAAGAAATCTGTTTTTATTTATTTATTTATTTTTGAGACAGAGTCTCGCTTTGTTGCCCAGGCTAGAGTGAGTGCCGTGGTGTCAGCCTAGCTCACAGCAACCTCAAACTACTGGGCTCAGGCAATCCTGTTGCCTCAGTCTCTGGATCTGCCCACCTCGGCCTCCCAGAGTGCTAGGATTACAGGCGTGAGCTACCGCGCCTGGCCTCAGAAATCTGTTTTTATTCCCATGTCTGCCATACATTCACTATGTGATCTAGGCAAATCACTATTCTTCTCTGTGCATCTGGAAATGAGGAGATTTAAATCAGATGGTCTTTAAGCTCTTTCCAGTTTGACTTGGAAAATGCTAAATGTGTCTTGACATTAAAAGTGGGCTGGGCACAGCTACCTGGCAACAATGCCAATTAAACGCCTAGTGTCAAGGACAACGATGCGGTTCCCTTCTCTACTACTTCATCCACAGTGATGCTGGCAGCAATAACCGACCATCTCCGACGGAGATACCAAGGGGAGGGGGCGGGCGCCCTGGAAGGAAGCATAATCCCCGCCCAGAATTCTAGGTGAGGCCTTCAGACTACAAATCCCAGCATGCAGCAGTGCAGCTCTCAAAAGTATCCTTTCCCGGTAGGCAAATCACTCTTCCCTGAGTCCATCCTACCATAGAGCGCATCGCACGCACACGGAACTACGGCTCCCACAATCCACCAGACCCATCGCGATTCTTGCTCCCGGGATGCAATGCACTCCCGTTCGCCCTTTGAACCCCTTGCGCATTGCAAACTGGGAGTTGAAGTCCGCTGTACGCAGGTCGCTGGGCGTTGTCAGGATTACAAACTCTCCGCTTTGGGCTTCCTCTTGAAGAGCAGTTCTCAGGGACGGTGGTGAAGACAGTGTAGTAACGGGCAGACGGAACTCGCCATAGTGTCATCAACACGCAAGGCAGGGATGCTCGGGCTAAATTAACTGTCCGGAACGGAGGGAAAAGGGAACCGCAGCCAGCCAACCCGCCACCAAAATTGTCATTTTCTGTTGCAATGCCTTTTCTCTCTTTACCAATATGGCGGCCCGGTCAAGCCACACCTGACGCTAGAACAAAATAGTCTAGTACAACATTCCTAGGAATATTGGTGTCACCGACAGCCTACTAACTCTATCTAACACCACACCTTGCTCCTTCATGCCTGAGGACCCCAAGGGCACGATAGCTCGTATCTCATTACCAAAATGGCGAAAGTAGAAGTTTTCTTGTAAGGGCCTGCAACTGACAATACGCCTGCGCGGGAAGCGGCTAGGTAACGGGGAGGGAGGGAAGCACCCCAACACGCCTGCGCGGGAACAGAGTCCCTTGGTCCGCACACAAACACCAATGGTTGAAGAGTCCCTAGGTTCCTGCGGCTGCGCCATGACCCCTAGGAGTTTTCCCAAGCGCCTGCGCGAGGCCTCAGGTCCCGCCCTTTTGCCTCAGTACGCTGGCGCAGGATAGAAAGGCGGGGCTTCGGTGCTCCAGACGAATGCCAGCGCGGCTGCGCGATGGGGGGTACCCCCTCACCGCGGCTGCGCGGGAGCCCGGCCGCCGGCTGTCACTGCGGTTGCGCGCGGCGAGCGGCGATCCCGGGGCGCCTGCGCGGGTGGCTTTGCGGGCGCTCGCGGTAAGTTTGCGCCAAGTGCGCGGCAGCCGGGACGCAGACGGCGGCAGCGGCAAGAGGCGGAGCCCGGGGACCACCCCCCATCACCCTCCCCCCCCAGTCACCTCACGTACCACAACCTCACCTAACCTCTCACCCCCCCTCCGATCCCCCCAACCCTGGGATGGCAGCGCCCGCCAGCCTTCCCGGCCGGACCAGCGGTCGCCAGTGCCGGCTTTAGCCTGTGGGACTAGGCCCCGCCGAGGCCTGACCCCCGGAGCCGGGACCCACTGTGCAGCCAGCAGCCGGGCCGGGACTGAGGGGCCGCTCCCCCCTCACGGCCCGTGGGGAGGACGCTGCCGTCCCGGGGACTGGGGGCCGGGGGGTGGGGGGGAGCCAGGGCGAGGAAGTCGGGACCCGTGTTGGGAAAAAAGAAGGGGAGCCGGGGTCAGGAGCGCCCCCTCCTCCCGTTTCCCCCCTCCCCCCGGGGTTGGGGGGGCCGGAGCAGAGAGCACCCAGCCCGGGAGGTGGATGAATGTGGGAGAAAATGGAGACCAAGACGATCGTGTACGACTTGGACACGTCGGGGGGGCTGATGGAGGTAAGAGTGGCCCTACTCATCCCCTTCCCCCAGCGTTGGGAGGGAACCTACGCCCTCCGCCCCACAAAGCCGGTCCTAAGCTCGAGGCGCCCAGAGGGCCGGGGGAGGGGGGTTCTTCCTCACCCAGCCTCTCCCTCCCATCTTTGCAATTCGAGGGGCTGTGCTCAGCCTCCGAGGACGTTTGCAGCAGTTTCACCTACCCGCCGCCCTCGATTCGTTCTCCTGAGGTGCCAGCCCACTCCATCTCGTTGCACCGGCGGTCTTCCCCACCCCCTTCTTGTCGGCCCTTTTGTGCTTCCCCCAGCACGTCCGGGTACCGGGCTCGGGCCTCTCCTGAGCTGGGCTTTGGAGTCCCCCACTGTCCATACAAGGAAGTGGCGAGAAGGGAACCGCGCACCCTCTCCCCATCCCCCTACCCTTGATCCTCCCCATTTGGAAGAAGCTGTTCTCGTTGTTGTGCTGCAGGAACGCGGTTAGGGTGGGCTCCCCCCCTGGTTCCGGGGGCTGAAAGGTTCTGGGAGCAGCCTGGATGGGAGGAAGAAGGACAAAAGGGGGGAGAGGGGTGGGTGACGGAGAAGCCGCGCCGGGGGGGCGACGGACCGCCCGGGAGCTCCGAGTGTGCACACACGCCGTTTGTATGTGTGTGCAGCAAATCCAAGCTCTGCTGGCTCCCCCCAAGACAGACGAGGCAGAAAAGCGGAGTCGGAAGCCCGAGAAGGAGCCTCGGAGAAGCGGCAGGGCCACCAACCACGACAGCTGCGATAGCTGCAAGGAAGGTGGAGATCTCCTGTGCTGTGACCACTGCCCGGCCGCCTTCCACCTCCAATGCTGGTAAGGTCTGAGGACCCCTTTGGAGCCCTTTGGCGGACCCTTCTCGGCACATTCCTTCACCCGGCCTGCTCCTGCCTGCCGAAATAACGGGCGCTTGCAGCCGCTAGCTGACTTTCTGCAGCCGCTGAGGCGAGCGCCTCCCCGCCCCTAGGTGTCTGCCGGGATCTGACCGTTTTGGGGGGAGGAACAGCGGACTGTCCGGACCCCGAGGTGGGGGTTGGGAGGAGTGAGGAGAACCCCATCTGGGATTGGAAGTCGCTGGGGAGCCGGGACATAGCCGGCAGGGCACGGCGGGCGGTGGCGGGGGAGGAAGGGGAGGAGCTCCGGGCCCAGTGCAGCTTGCCTGCCCGCGCGCCCGCTGTCCTCGGGGCTCCTGCCCGGCCGGGCTCTCCTCGGGGTGGGTGCGCGGAGCCCTCGGCCGCGGGAGCTGCCCTGTTCCAGACCCTGGCGACTGGGCGCTTGCGGCTGTGGAAGAAATAATGGAGGGTGTCTCTGAGTCCTCCTCTTCTTTGCCTCTCTGTTTACAATATGGCGACCTGCCTTTAAATTATATTTTTATTCTCAGCGCCATTTTGGCTGCATATATAATTTGCAAACGTTTACCAGGGAATGGTGAGGGCAGCCCTGGAGTCTTTTCTGCAGAAGCTCCTCGGGGGCCCAGGCTGGGATCTCACAGCTTTGGTTCCCTTTCTCTGCCTCGGCTTGCCCCCTGTTGCCTCTCGGAGCTACCTCCCTCCTCCCTCCTTCCTCTTCTCTCCCTGCGCTGCTGCCTCTTAGGAAATCGGCCCGGGTTAGACAATTAAAATTGCCCTTGGGCGCCTATTTCACTTCTCCGCTCCGGATCGGCGAGCCCTTTGCAGCAAAATTCTTTGCTGCCGGGGCAAGATTGTGTGCTGTGGCTCTGGAAAGGCATTTTTAAGGAGCTGGGAGCTGGAAAGCCGTGCGTTTTTTTTTTTCTTCCTTACTGAACGGGAGGGGAGGGGGGAAAACCGAAGAGAGGGAGGGACCTGGGTTGATCGCCCGCTGCTTGATCCTCCTCAGCAGCTCAGCCCAGAACAATCCGGCAAAGAAGAGTTTAAACTCCAGCTTCTGCTGGGAGAAATCACCTCTGCCCTCCACAAAAATCCCACGTCTGCGCAGCAAACCCAGATTTCATCTTGTTCTGCTGGGTTTTGTTCTGTTGTTCAGCAACAGTTGACTAAGGCAGGCTTTGGAGAAAGGAAGGAGAGGGGACTGTTCTGTTTATTCCCATCCATTTTTTGGTATTGCCTTTTTTAGCTCTTTGGTTTTCTTTCTTTCTTTTTTTAAGGGGGAAGGAGGAATTTCCCATAAGGTCTCTTCACACAATCCATTCACATTCCATCTCTCCGTTTGTGGAATAGTGCCTTCTGTATATTTGTACTAATTGCAGGTTTTGGAACACTTATTAGACAGATATGACTGATACTGGGCAAATTAAGTCTGTGGTCAGAAGTTATGTAGGAAGTGCCCATTACCATTCCCAAGATACTTTTGCCCAGGAGGGCACCCCATCTGGGCTTGTAATGTTGCAGGGACAAAAATGATTATCCTGGAGGAAGCTTTGCTGTTGGCTTTAAAATTTTTATTATGAAATGACTAATACCAACAAGAAGGGTCTGTGGTTTTTAGCCTTTACTTCTATTAAGGTGTGATCCATCTGGAGGAAATATCTCTGGTCAAATTTCAGTTGCTGGAGAGATCTGTACCTGAACATGCTATGTTGCTTACTTTTTTTTTATTATGCTTGTTTAATACGTGCACTAGGACTGAGTTGTATATACTTCTCGATTTAAAGTTATAGGCTAATGTTTTACTCCTAGCATGAAGTTGGTGTTAACTGTGATTGTTGACTTTCATGTTGAGTGTCAATTTTATGTGCTTTATATTATCTTTAGTTTCATTTGTTTAATAAAGCTGAAATTATTTATTAGAAACATCATGCATGGACAAAGTGTGCTGTTTTGCCTGAGATTGGGCTTTTAAACTCTAAAGCCTGACCTCTGAATCTTTTAATTAGATGAGTCTAAGTCTAGTCAAGTTGTAACAATTAACAGTTTCCATTTTAGCTGGAAGGAGAGAGAAGGAAGAACTTTTAGCTCTCCAGGCTTGCCCAGACTACAGTTCATTGAATACTTTTTCTTTTCTTTTTTTTTTTTTTTTTTTTGAGACCATGAATGGGAACTGGTAATCAGAGATTTGCAAATAGTAAATGAAGTAGGGCTTGTTTAACTTCTCTAATCCTCCCTTTGAAGATGCCAGTACTGAATGTACCATTGACTTATCAGAGTTATTATCTAAATCACAAAATGTTGTAGATACTGGTAGAAAGGCAGGAAGTCTTCTTTTAAATAGGAATTCCCAAGATGAGTTTCATTCGGGAAGTGAGGCCTATCCCACTTTCCTGCCTCCTAAGCCACACTTTTTCCAGCAAGAGTGAAGTCCTTCGTTAACCATAGTAGTTAGGTCATGTAGTTAAGATCTCAAAACATTTTGATTCCTGGGTGTGTTTTCATTAATTTGTCTATTATTACTTATACCATATGAAGATGAAGTTAGGCGGTATGGCAATATTTTCTCTTCCCTTTTTAACTGGCTAAGACTGAATTATTTAGATAAGCATAGTAATGATAAATTAATTCCCTCCTGTACAGAATGTATAAGAGTAGAGTTGGAATTTTGCAGATGCTGTCAATCATACTTGCAGTGCTGCTGTGTTCTCTATTCAAAGTTCTATATCATAAGTCCTTTTTCAGTCTCTTAAGTTTGCCTTGCCAGTCTGCCTCACAGTGAACAGGATCCAGTACAATGTTCCAGAAGTCATTGTAGGCAAACTTTACCTCCTGGGTTAACTGACATAGCCGTAAACCACAGTGGATTTTTCTAAGATAAACTACTAGAGGAAATGACTGGTCAAATAAGCTGTTTTAATTGTTCTGTCTTTTCTCAGGGCCCAGTGCTCTGTACAAGCCACATCATCTCTTCCCAATTAGACTAGGAGCCCTATTTGAGTTTTCTGTAATGATCCTCTGGATGAGAAAATGAATTGTCCTGTCCTTAGTACCATGACCTCATCAAAGAATTAAACTTGAGGAGCTGATGTCTTTGTATTTGTTTAAGTGATAGCGTAATCATTTTATCCAAGTTTAACTGGCTTATCAATTATTCAGAGTGATAGTAGGGGGTTACTAAATCTCCAATTCTCTGGAGAATTGAAGAGATGTTTTTAAATGTTCCCTGGTGCGTCTGACCTTTTTCATAATTGTCGTGTCGTAAGTTGAGCTTTCTGAAAATTCTGTGTCTCCAGAATTTTTAGGGACTGGTCCCTAAAAATTAGAATAACTGGTGGAGCTTTAGTTGCCACTGGCCCATCTTTCTGTTGGAGATGGGTGGGATTGTTGTCACTGGTAGGGTGAATAAGATAGGGCATCAATAATGAGGATGGTGAAACTGGCTGGTTTCCTCTGATTGCTTTGTCATGGCATTTTGTTCCAAACAGACTGAGGGACCAAAATGGTCTGATTGAGAACTGCATCTATCTCAGCCGACCTCAGCATGGTCCCTTCCCGTCAGACAGATTTCTGTAGCATTTGCCTCCGCATGTTATATTTGGAATTTTGGCCGGCTTTCCTCTCTCTGGTGTTGGCAGCAAGATCCAAAATGAGGTTTTCGAAGAATGAGAGTAAAAAGGTCTCTGTGCACAGGCAAAACTAAGCTCAGCTTGGAGTTTTGCATATTTAATTTTCATTGAGTCATAACAAAGGTTTCACACATGGAATAGAAAACTGCCTTACTGAAAATCTTTGTTGTTTGAACTTTTAAGGAGGTGGTTTTTCTAATTTTGTTGTGTTTAGCTCCTCATTAAAATAATACCAGGCAAGTGGTGAATTAAAATAAATTTATTTTAACATTATCTTATGAATCTGTTGTTTTTGACATTGTAAGTGTTTAGAAGCCTGGCACTAATGGAACTGGAGGTGACAATGTCTGGATTCCCTCCCCTCACCTTGCCTCATCAATAGTAAAATGATTCCACAAAAAACAAACCTAATTTGGTTTTGTGTTTATTTTATTTACTTATTTGTTTTGCATTTTCTGTGTTGCATTAGAATCTAGGTGTGTAGGGAGTATATTCAGGGCAACTTTTCAGTATATGCTCCTCCCAGGGGAATACAGAAAAATCTAGGTGTGCAGTGTTGTCTTTAAATGGTTCATCTAAACGTGGAAGGTCCAATGATGTTCAGCTTTAGCTCGGGTTCAGATGCATGCTTCTTAAACTTAATGTAGAGCTCAGTGGCTAATTCTTGTGGAATGAATACAAGTATCAGAAATATTAAAAGTGGAAAAAGAGGTAATACTCCTGAAAGGTAACAGTTTTGTGTAACTTAAGTATTTAGTGATACAGTTGTGAGAAATTTTTCATCTGGGGTCTGTCCCAAAATTACCATACTCAGTGAAAGGTGGGATGTAGTTAAAATCTCATCAATCACCTGGTATTCTTTAAGGCTCTCAAAGTACTTTATGAATGGGTTCCACTAATATATTAAGA